GAGGCAACTCCACTCACATGAAAAAATTATGTTTTTATTATTAGACACATGTAATGAAACTGTTTAATGCCATACAGTGGAACATTCCAAACAAAGAAAAAAACATATCAGGCGGGTAACAGACCGCCCACCAAGAAAAGTTACTTGTGCATCTTTAAGTACAAACTATCCCGTACCTCTTGTAGCAGATCCTCCACTGAATGTGCAAAGCGGTCAGTCATTTCATCTATGAGTTGAGAGCGGGCGATGTCCACGCGGTTCATGATGGTGTACTCCTCAGAGCACAGGATGCTGTAGGTTTTACTGCAGGCCTCCAACACGTCTGTCTCTATGTGCTTCTCCACAACCAGACGAATCTGTTTTAACAGGGCGTCCAGGTGCTTCTCCATCCGACCTGCACTGTACACGTCCAAGTCAAAGAACTGAGGGATCTGAAGGAGGTTGGCCACTTTCTCTGAGTCGGCCTGGTACTGCAATTATCAAGGAAAAACATACACTGCTTAGTAGAGGTGGGAGGTATTTAGAACATTTGATAATATCACAATTATACAATGAATTCAATGTATAATAAATAACATTTTGACCACTAACAGGTGAAATAAGGAATGGATACATTTTTCAGCATCATTATAAATGGAACAACACACGAGATTGGATCCAAGAGATCAAGACAAGACTAGATTTTCACATAATTCATAGTAAATTGATCACTATTTTGGCCTCAATTTATGTTATTTAAGATTTTATTTTGGAATTGCAGCTTCTCAACAAATGTAACTTGCCAGCACCTAAACCTTTTTTGTCCAATCCAAATGTAAAAGCATGGGAGGGAAATCTCACAAGATAATTTTTTTTCATGTGCGCATGTATTTTGTGGCAATTTTGTCTTGCGAGATCTTGTGGCATGACATTTTGTCCCATCTGTATAAATATATAAATCATGTATTGTTAATTATATATTAGCTAACAACTGGGCCATAGCAACTGCAGAACTGCAGCGCTTATGGAATATTTGCAGTGGTCAGTAACAGCGATAGGTGATGGACACTGGGGAGCAGGTTTCAACAATATATCAGTTTGTTTGTTTTTTCAACATGTCAACACATTCTTTACACAACAATTCAAGTTGAGTGGAGGCTATAAGGGTTTCAACAATTTTACCTTGGACAAAAGCATTGGCAACGCCATGATGAAGTGCTCTGTCAGTTTGTTTTTATCATCTATCTGCGTCTTCCTCTCCTTCGCCGTCAACACCTGGATGAACAGATAAACGTATAATACATTCAAAATAAGTAGCAAAAATAACAACAGAGTGGTGTCAAATAAATATGTGTAAGTAAAAATAAATATAGTTATATATTAATAGAGAGTGGAATTCAAACTGCCAACCTTTGAATCAGTGGGCAAACACCCTACAAACTGAGCTACTGTCGCCAAGTAAGCTGATATAGTAAGAAAATAGTAGATACAAGTAAAAACAAATTTCCCATACAATTATTGCTAAAAAACACATTTACTATATTAACAAATTGGGGCTTACCCGTTTGCCAGTCCCGCGGCCTACAGGGGGGTGTGCCTCAGCAGCCTGGCGAATGGTGCACACTGTGAGCTCGATTAGAGCGCTCTCCTGTCTGTCTGATAACACTGTAAAAAAACATACAAGAAAATGGACAATCATAAAGAATTCATGGTGGAATATATAAAAACACAGAAATCTGATTTGATTTTAAAGTTTCACTATGTAATTTTTCTGGGTTACATACTGCAAGTTGCTTTTTTTTTTTTTTTCTTTGAAGTATTTACATTTGCATTTTTTTCGGTTTAAGGGTGCATTCCCACTTGTCCTGTTTTGAGCCTAGTTTAGTCCTGATGTAGATTTGGAGTGGTCCTGGTCTATTCCTGATCTAGTCCAGGTTTACTTCTGGGTTTCACCCAACTTTAGTTCCAGTTTAGCCCAAAATGTGGTGTATTAGCAAGTGTAAATGCATTAATTTCATAGTGTAAAATGGTACAGATTTTCTTGTACATTTTTAGGTGAATCTTGAGTCTTACCCTCCTCTCCCTGCACAGGCTCCTCCAGCAGCAGTTCAGTCATACACTCCCAGTCTTTGAGCAGCTCTTGAGAACTCTCCCACAGCGAGTCCACAAGGTACGCTGCGTGTTCATGGAGCTAAGGATGGATAGGAATACAATAATGATGGTTATTTTACTTACTATTATAATGGGCCTAGTCATTTTACATAATAGGTTGCATAAATCATGTAAGCATTTAAAGGTCCTATATTACACAAAATGGACTCTTGTGAGCTTTAAGCCATGTTATAATGTTTTTACCTCATCAAAAACATACCTGAAGTTTTGTTTCATTCATTCATTGTTTTAGTAAGCCCTTATTATTTGGTGTGTCTATAACAATATATAATAATATATGTCGTGCTAGCTTTCAAGTTAACAGCTACCTTTTACCTTTTGTTTGGTAGAGATTGACACTTCCACAACTAAAATAATCCAAAATTATTCTAGTGAAGGTGTATGGAGTTTAAAAACACAGTGAAGCACTTCCTGTATTATTAAATGTTTTCTGTTTGAAGGAAGAACTAAATATGAGATTATATAGGGTTTGTGTGTTAAACATGTCTGAATAAAACAAAACACAACATCCAGGTATGTTTGTGACGAGGAAACAACATTATAACATAGATCAGAAAACAGCGTGACATGAGCTATTTAATACTATGAAATAAGACATAAATAAGGGATTGGAAAATTCTGGAAATATTATTTAAACATATTTCACACTATAATACAACATATAATCATAGGAACATGTAACTAAGGATTACCTCACTCTCCAGGAAGAAGAGCACCAACATACGGATCAGGTTTCCATTGGGACTGCTCCTCCCTCTGCGTTTGGCCAGAGCCTCTTCAGCCTGAGGGTCATGGCGACTGAACAATCTGAGAAGGTACACAGATAAATACAGTTAGAAAAAAAGACAATTCCATACAATCCAATGAGAACAATATACTAAGACATCAGGGTTTTTGCGTTTGGAAACTTAAACCTACTTCCTGTGCAGAAACTCTCCAGCAGCCACAGCCACAGGTCGATGTGCGGAGTAAACCAAGTGGTACACATTTTCACAGTCCTCATTTGACAGGGCATCTTCACTGCCCCTAAAACAAAAGTGTTATAGTCAGTTAAAACATTTATGTCATTTTAAGTTAAGTAAAAAGTAGGGCGCACAAATTTCCTCATAGACTTGGTAACAATAAGACTTTTAACCACTTTTAACCATTTAACCATGTTATAAGGTTTTTTCCCCTTTTCATTTACTCTCTTCAAGTTGTATATTGAGTGATTCATGTATGTTGGAGTAATTTTGAATCACTTATTTTCAAGTTATTTTGCAGATCAACCCTCATTTTCACCGCCACAAGCATACGCCCAATTACTGCTTTCTGCAAATTCATTTTCTTAATCAGTAGGACACGAAGGATTCGGAGGCATTGTGTAGTCATTTTGGTGCAATTAAAAAACATCAGCTTCTTGCTAATGTGATGTGCAGCTATCCACAGGAGTTGTGATGACATTTACAATGACGTCAGCTCCCACTGGAGACTGCAGTTTTCTAATGCGATAGTCAGCAAACTTGTTTCTTTTATTAAGTTGTTTTAAATGAATATGTATATATTAGAATGATACCATGATCATCCACAGGTGTCATAGCATGTAAATAGGAGGCTCAAGCACAATGTGTTTTTTAATGTTTGAAGAATACTGAATTACTTACTGTAAGATAAGAGTGACCAGTCTGATTGCCTCCACAGCTACATCATACTCCTTATCCAGAGTCATTGATACTATACGGTCCTATTCAAAACAAATATGATATATTAATGCAAAATTTATAAAATGTTATAGAGAAGTAGTCATATATATTGAGTGTTTTGTTTTACCTTGAATCGATTTGTAAAAAGCTCAAGTTTAGGGAATAGTTCTCTGTTTGTATAAAGGTTTTGCAAAGCCTTCAGGCACTTCAGACGCACCTCTCCTTGCTGGAAAAATAAGTTACATTGTCATCATTATTATTATTAATAAATTTCATGCTTATTTTCAGTATTGTGACTCAAAATGTAGAGTATAATGATATAAGGTGTCATACTGACCCTATCATGTAGTGTCCAACCCACATATTTCAAATAACTGTCATTTAGAAAGGCATCACTGTACATCTTCATCCAAACTCCTATTTCTTCAATACAAATGGCACGGATTTCTGCAATGGCATCCCTGTTAAAACACAATGAATAAAGTGGTTAGCTTAGTCTGTACTCAAGTTTAAGTAATGTTTAAAGTTGTTTGTACCTGTAGCGGTGCACAAAGATACCCTTGAAAATTGAGTTCATCATGTTTTCTATTTCATCTTGATTTTCTTGTAGCTGTAAAAAGAAAACAGAAATTTAGGTTATGTATAGCAACAGTAATTCACTTTTTTTTCTTTTTTTTCCCCCAACATCATCCGCTTTTAATCACCCAAGCATGTCTTCAGTTGGCTACAGACCTAATTATACGGTCTCTCCTTTGTCAAATACATTGCTGCCATGCACAAAAATGTTATTTAATTTTTGCCCACCTCTTTCCTCTTTTGCAACAGCAGCTCTAGCTTCTCATTGGCTCGTTTTCCTGCGATCTTGTTCCTCTCAGCCTCGTACTGTCTCTGAGTGTTGTCCTGATGGATGCTCAGGTTCAGCGCCACATTCACCAACGCCGTCATCAATTTCATCGCTATGGAAACACAAATGTACAAAAGATTTTAAAATATATGAAACCAAAAGGTGGATAAAAACATAGATTGGTCTCTTATTAAATAAAACTCAAGTTGCGGATTAGTAGAGGCAGTCCACGTACCACCAGTAGTACTTGTATTACAGAAACAGTTTAAATTCACTACAAACTTTGACCCAAGCCCCTTTTGTCTGAAAGTGTTAATATAAAGCTTTGTGTGTATTTTTAAGCAGCAGATTGGTCAAAACAAAATATCAGTGTATGCTTGAGATTTAAGACCAAAAACCCGATATGCAAAAAAAGTCCAAATAGCAGCTCAGTTATGTCTACTAGAAACTAAGCAAAAATTTATTTACCTGCGAGCGTGGAAGTGTGTCTGAATGCTCGGACCTGGGAGTCGGAGAGTCCAGTGAGCAGAGAGATGACTGTGTCCATCATGTACTCGTCATAGATGATGCTGTACTGACACTGACGAATCAGGACCGCGATAAATTCACAAAAATTGTAACGAAACTTCTTCCACATGGGACCAGGCATCGTCAGGGGGTAATCACCACTGTCCTGTAGGGGGAGACAGAGAGGGGGCAAAGATTTAAAATGTTAGTTAGCCTGGTGAAGATGTCTATTCTGAATCACTTCTTGTTGTTGTTTTTATATAAAAAATTACAGTTACAAGTACCACACATTACAGTTGTTTGGGATTATTTTACATTTAAAGGTGCACTGTGTAATTTTTCTGGAGGGAGTTTGTCTTCATGGAAATGTTAACGTTAATGTAAATGTTAAAGTCTTACTGTGAGTGGGGTCATCTCTCCATAAATCTAACCTGTAATTTGGGTTGCAAGTCACCATGGAGATTCTTATGTTTATGGCTATGCCATGGAACATTCTAGGTACGTCTCCATGGAGACAAGCAGGTGACAGACCCTCCACCAGAGAAGTTATACAATGCACCTTTAAAGTTCATTCATAAGGATAACTGTTGACATGCTCTTTTCACGCAAAAAGAAATTAAATAATCAAACATATTGGTGTTTTTAATATTAGATTTTAATATTTTTTACCTCATCGAACTCCTCAGTCATCTTGCGAATAATCTCAGCATTTTGCATATTTCTGAACATCTCGATCCGTACGGTACCTGGTTATCAAAGACACAAAGAATTTTAAGAGATGTCTTACATGGCGTGTCCACTATAGTGTGACTACAATATACTGATACATAATAAAGATGTGTGTGTTTAAAGGTGCTTTGTGTAACTTTTATGGTGGAGGGTTCGTCAAATGCTTTTCTTCATGGAGATGTTATTGATTTTTCTGGAGTGTTTCACAGTATGGTATTAAACCTTTCTATTATCATGGAGACCAAACCAGATCAAGTTACAGGTCAGATCTGTGGAGAGGCAACCCCACTCACAGTCAGAATGCCTGTGTTTAGAGGTATTTTTGAGCTATAATACCACCTGTAATTGGATAAATGTAAGGAAGAGCTGTTTAATGTCATACTGTGGAACATTCTAGGCCGACCAATGACATATCCATAGAAACAACCAGGTGATGAATCCCCAACCAAAAAAGTTACAGAGTGCACCATTTAGTCTTACCTTTGCACCCTGAACACTGAATGAAAAAGTTGATGAGGTCGAGAAGAGCCATGTCTCTGTCCTGTTTATACGACTCAATCCAGTCGTCCACCACACACTGAGAAAACACAAAAAGAGATGTAAATAAATCAAATATTATATTTACAATATTTCACTTTGACACAGCAAGTATCAATTACAAAAAAAAAAAAAAAAAAAAATTGATGATCATAAATATACTGAATGAATATATTAAATCACACAACAATAGTAGTAGTTCTAGGTGTAGTAATAGTAGTAACAGTAACAATAATAGTAGTAGGGAGTAGCATGTAGTTGTAGCTGTAATAGTAGTATTGGTAGTAAAAGTACTAATAAATGTTAAAATCATTAAATAGTTTGCCAACTGAAATCAGCTCGGAGATTAGTTTGTGAATATATTAAATCACACAACAATAGTTTTTAAATGAAAAATACTAAAGGCAGTGTTTTTTGTGATATATTAAATTAAATTAATATTTAATTCTCCAGCCTTATCCACACATGTATCACTGTCTATACACAGACCTGCATGGCACTCTTGCCCACTTTGACCACCTCAAAGAGGGTGACTGGGTCTGCGTTGTCCCCGTTGTGTTGGGCAACTCCATTGGCTTTGCCCCGCCCCCTGGACATGCTCATGGTCTTATCAGTCGGAGACCTCCTCGGCTTCTTATTGGACACCTGGATAGAGAAATATGTTATATAATTATTATTTAGCTTTTCTTTTTATAGTTTTAAATTATGTACTGTACAAAAAAAGACTTGTTGAAAAGGAGAAGTTGCATTATTATAACTAAATACTATACACATAAGTACTATTTACAATATCTATATTTTATTATTTTATTAACCTTCTAAAAATATTTTGTGACTGTCATTAAGTTGTGTTGAGTTACTTTCAATCAGATTACTCCTCCTGAAAATATATTAAAATGATAAAAAAAAGAAAGAAAAGAAAATGTGTAATGTAATGTGGGTGGCTTCAATCACTAAAAATGAAAAATAATGTCCTATTTTTGTTGAAACTTGTTGAAAATGTTGTAATGTTATTGTCTGTATCCTTCACCTGTGCTTGTTTCCCAGGTCGTCCTCTCTTCTTTCGACCTTTCACCTCTGGGTCTTCAATTTCACTCATGCTCATGCTCAGACTCACTGCATCTGTGGCTCCAGACTCATTAGAAGAGTCCCTGTAATGACAAAACAAGAATTGTAAAAATGCAACTGCAACATACTTTAAAAACAATACAGGTTGATCAGAGTGCTACAAAACATAACAATAAAAACAATAAAACAGATTCTTAATAAAAAAAATAAAAAATGCAGTACTTTTCTTTTGAATCTTACTTTTCAACATAAAATTCTTGGCTTGAGGGTAACTTAATGGTTTCTTTCACAACCAGGTCCCCACCCACTATTGAGGTCTATTCACCTGGCACATACATGAGCTTGTGGTAAGAGAATCCACAGTAACACAGGAAGGACATGCAAACACCCTGAAGAGTGCAAGAATCAAACCCACAACCTTACTGATACTCATCATACATTTTCTCATGCACTTGTCAACAATGCATTTAGTGTTCATTTAAATACTCCATAGTATGGCATTACTGTCAGCCAAAATGTGAATAAGTACAGAGTAAATCTTAAAACTTACTGTAACACTGGTAGTTCTGAGGTGATCATTTTGCCTGGTTTGTTGTTGATACTGTAATATCACTGTGTATATGTTCAGTCCACTTCTGGAGGTGCAGGACGGGGCAGAGGGAAGTGTCTGGGCAAGTTCCAGGAGTGACCGCACTTAGCTCTCTCCAGCTCCTGCAAAACACAGAGGAATAATAATGGTCAGTCTAGGAATATATAGACAGAATGTGTACAAATACCCACAATAGAAGAAGTAGTAGTAGTAGTAGTAGTAGTGGTAGCAGTAGCAGCAGCAGCAGCAGCACTTGTGATGGCAGCCGCAGGAGTTATGGAAGTAGTTTGAAATGGTCCTATTTGCAGTATTAATCGGTAGTAGCAGTTTTTGTTTGTAGTAAATAATAGTAGTAAGTAATAATAATATTAGATGTTTAGTAGTAACAGTGTTTGACCTGAGAATAATACAGATTTGGCAAGAATACATTTAATTTTTGTATTCCCTCCCACAGGCCCTATGGATATTAATGAACATAAAAGCCATGTTAATATGTTTTAATAGAAAAATGCAATTGGTGAGGGTAATCTACCGGGTAAAATACAAGGGATTTGGCCAGTCCTAGTAGTCCAAATAGTACTAGTAGCTGCAGTAATAGCAGAAGTAATAGTATTGAAATAATGGTTATGAAGACATGCTAATAAAAACAAAGCAGCATGAGAACAGTCATTAAATAGGCAATCATTATAATACACTGCATTGTTAAACACATTATGACTGCAATTACCAACTGTAACGGTTTATGGGAGGCAGTAAAATAGTATTTTGAATCATATGGATCACCGTGAAATGCCCTGGTCATAAAGTCGCGCATGAATCCAGTTAAAAAGGCCAACTCTGAACCACAAGCAATAGAAATTAATTGTAGCTAAAATAAAGGATTCTTTAAAATAATATAAGTGTTTAAATATTTGCATTTTGTAATTATTATCGTAAATGGAAACGTTACTTGCTTCCATTTAAAACAACGGCAATTACAAAGGGTCAAAACTAGTTAATTATCACAGCATAGTTTTAAGTGCAACTTTAGACCACAATTATTCTTGGATTCCTTTGATATTTAAACTAGGTGGACTTCAAGGTTTACAAATATCATCATTTAAGAAGGTTAAAGGAAAAACACACGTGCATAATTTTTATTTTCAAGCTTTAACGAGGCAAAAACGTGATTCAAATCGTTAATTAAATTTTACACTGGGTGGAAAAATGAGACAAGGAGGACACCAACTGGACACAACGAGAACTGCGCCTCCCAAATAATGAGCGGGATTGTGCAATGAGCTGTTGTTAAAACTATTTCCAAAGGTCACGGCATTTGATAAATTATAAAATTAATCATATTTGTATTCATAAATATATATATATATATTTTTTTTTAGAAAATTACGAGTCTAGTAAGGTCTAAATTACAAAGTTTCACATTTACAATACAGAAGACAATTTGGTTCGTGCAATACATTGTCCAAAAAGTTATTATTAGTAGTGGTTATTATTATTTACAGATCCGTTATTTCATAATTTAAAATATATCACGTAATCTGTGTTATATTTTGGACTCTGGAAATGATGTCATCACGTTGTAACGATGCTCATATCATTTGCTTTCGGGTAAAATCAGGTCAAGTTATTACATTAGACTGGACAAGACTATTAATTGCATCGTTAGTTCAGTAATTATTTAAATATGCAAATGAACACGCGAGGCAAAGATGGTGCAAAACCCAACCTCACAGCTAGGGGCAGCATGATCCACAAAGTTCTCTACCCAGGCAATTTCTCCAAGTGGATAATTAGGTTTAAACGCAGAAACATGAGCTCTGGAAAATTACATTCACGTTTATTCCATTCATAGCTTGCATTTGCGTATTTTTGTAACATTTTTGGGAGTTATTTGAGTTTTTTGTACCTGTAGTGTGTGCCATTGCATTCATGTGTGTTTGAGAGGAGCACTGGGCAACAGTAGGGGGCAGGCTAAGAGAGTGTGTATTTGAATACTGACTTGTACATAGTGTTTGTATTGAGGCGATAGGGAGGTAGTAGTACTAGCAGAAACACATGTGTATACGGATGGACGCTAGGGCTGTCTCTGTTTGGCGATGTGATGCGAGGCTGCTTATGTCTGTGTGATGTGAGTGAGAGGGGTTTTCTGAGGGAAGACAATGACAAGAATGCAAGTTCACATGCAAAAAAAAAAAAAAAAAAAAGAAAAGAAAAAACAAAAACACTTGAGTATTATTTCAAACAATGACATCTATATTTTAAAAATGTACCTACAGTGAAATTAGAGACCTGTTTTATTACTAACTGGCAACATTTTACATTGAAATCACCATTATATTTGATCATTTGCACAGCGTAATCTAGATAGGATAATAGCTGAACAATTTAAGATTTTTTGTTTTATATAAATCAGCTGGAGAACAGAAATTGTCTTTTTAATTATTTTTTTCAATAATTATGGCAACTGTAAAACCACTTGTCTCTTATTACAATTACTGACATTAAAAATGGCATGTGAATCCTATACACAAGATGCAAAAAATACTTAAATACAAGACAATAGCAATTTTGGTAATATCTCAAACCTAATAAGTATGATGCACATGGTATCTTTTCCTTAATTCAGCAACATTAAATTTCAGTATTATTGTATCAATTTTGGACACACTTGCTTTGTAGATTTGTATAGAAAAACAAAAGGATTCACAAACATCACTCTTCCCACTCACTCACAGCAGCAGTGTCAACAGAAGGACATGAATAATTTGTAAAAAAAAAAAGTAGTCCAGACATGAAGCTTGCACACTTTTTAGAGAAGTGCAATTTTAGGTCTCCTGTCACAACTCATTTCATACTTTAATTCAACATTTTTAATTTCTTTCTGTACATTTAACCATGTTAAACTGAGATTTTGGTTTGTTGAAGGTGCATCACATCCTTGTTCTGGCTACCTGCTTGTCCTGAAATATTCCACAGTATAGCATTAAATCTGATGTATTAGTATTGCAAAACAGACACATTTAAAATCATGCATTCTTACTGTGAGCGGGACAGATGTGTTCTGTAATCTGGCCTTGTGCTGTTACCTGCTTGTCTTCATGGAGATAGATACGTTTAATGCCATACTATGGAACATTATAGGCACAGCAATAACATCTCTAAAGAAACAAGTAGGTGGCCGACCATGTACCAGAAAGTTGTATAGTTCACCTTTAGATTAAAAGTTGCAGTATTTTTAATGGGGCATAGTTGCTCATTTTGTAAACAACTACTACTATTTTAATAAGCAAGAATGTAGAGGCAGACATACTGAGAGATGTTTAGATAACGAACTGTTGAGTTGTCAGTATAAAATGTAGAATTGTAAAATAGATCAATAACAATGATGTCACGAGGGAAAACAGCTTGCATTTAATGTATACTACAAGTAAACATATATAGCAATACAAAATATGAAACAGAGGCTGGAGTTGTGATACAGCTCAAATCCTATGCTCTTGTGTGTAACAGTCAAATTAAAACTGTACTTTACTTGTGATTAACTGTAAAAATTAATAAACAATAAATACATTATGTGCAGTTTTTGACACATTCTGTTCCAAATGAATGAGAGACATCTTTTTTCTCAAAGGGGCAATGCTGGGAGTTAAAGTGAAACTAGACTAGGACTAACCAAAGTCTACATTAGGACTAAAAACCAGTGTGTGAAAGCAGCCAAAATGCACTCATATATAAGCACCTGATGGGAAAGAAAACTGGTTTGTTGTTGCAATACCTCATGTCACCACCAGGTTAGGAGAAACTGTACAAGGGATCAAACAGGGCAGGACCTCTCCACTTCTCCCATAGACACACACAGCTGTGTGCTTTTATGAATGGGGAGAGACGCATTTTACTACTACTTCTTATTTAAGAAGGGACCAATGATAACTAAGCATGCTAAAAAGCCAATAAATCAGAAAATAGCTTTTAAAGTGTACTGAGCTAAATATAACTTACAGACCATACACTTGACTATTATGAATGGGGCCAAGAAGACGAACTACTACTTTCTCCCAGGTGTATTTAAGAATGAGAAAGAAAGGGAGAGCAAGAAAGAGGGAGAGAGAAAGAGAGTCTAGGAGATCATAACAGAAAGACAGAGAGAGGGAGAGAGAGAGGTGGGTGAATGAGAAACAGAGTAAAAGAAAGCCAGAGAGAGAGTGAGCGAGAGACAGAAGGGAAAGAAAGAGAGTGAGAGAGAGAGAGGGAGAGAGAGAGAGAAAGGGAGAGAGGAGAGAGACAGAGAGAGAGAGAGAGAGAGAGAGAGAGAGAGAGAGAGAGAGAGAGGGAGAGAGGGAGAGAGAGAGAGAGGGAGAGAGAGGAGAGAGAGAGAGAGAGAGAGAGAGAGAGAGAGAGAAAGGAGGAGTAAAAAATAAGTAAGGGAGAGGGAGAGAGAGAGATAGAGACGTAGACAGCGAGGGAGCATCCTGGAGCCACTTAACATGCATGACAGGAGCTCAGGGAGGCAGGCCGGCGTCGCCATGGTAACGGTGTGGGTCATAAGCCCAGCAGTGGGGGCCACATTTGATTGGCTGAGAGCAGAGACGCAGGAGGGGTACAAAAAGGAGGGAGGGGGGACGGAGATAAAGATCCAATCAGCACTGCATTTAAATGACTTATAGAGATTCAAAGGTACAGTTGTATCTATAACTGTTATGTGTACTGAAATAAATACTCACTGAAGTTAAGATACAGTAAAACTAAATTAAAACTGTTTTGTTTAAACAGAATTATACATCAGGATTATTTTGCTCACACAACATACAGTATGTATTAAAGGTTCTATATTACAGAAAATTTACTCATGAGCTTTAAGCCATGTTTTAATGCCTCAAAATGCTCTGTTCCACCTTGTGATGTCATGTAGTGGTCATTTTCAACAGATATTTTTTACCTTTAGTTCAGTAGAGATTGGTAATTCCAGGGTTGAAATTATCCAGATTATTCTAGTCAAGGTGTATGGAGTTAAAAATCACAGTGGAGCAGTTTGAGAGAAGAACTCAGCCTAAAAATACAGGGTTTGTGTGTTAAACATGTGTGAATGAATGACCTCAGATTTGTCTTTGATAAAGAAACAACA